TTTACCCACGTTTATCATGGGGTAAAATTTGGAGACAGTAGCCAACAAATGGATGGGAAATTGGTTTCTTGGAAGCAAAATGCTCAATAACTCGCTGATTAAAGTCATGCATCCCAGAAATAACGTCTCTGTGAATGGATAAAACAGCCAAGGAATTTAATCTATCTTGCTTCATTGTGTTTCTGAGATACGTTTTAATACGCTTCAGCGTGCTGAATGTTCGCTCTGCGTCGGCGGAAGAAATAGGCGTCGTCAAAATGATGTCTAGAAATTTTGCAGACGCCGCAAAGGTAGTTACTAGAGTGTTATCTATGAGGAACCCATAGAGCGCGCAAGTTGATGTGATGTACAAAAAAGTTTGATTGGTGTATATACATCGCAATTCATTTTCCAATTTACCCACGTTTATCATGGGGTAAAATTTGGAGACAGTAGCCAACAAATGGATGGGAAATTGACGTGCAAATTTTGGAAAATTTTTGGGGTTCATCATAGAGAACGCGGCAAGGTGTTCAGTGCGCAGACGATCGCCTATTTGATTCACCAGAATGTCACAGCATTCCTTTGCAGACAAAATCAAACGCTGCGTTGTTTGCCCGCGGCGTAAAGAAGCACTCCATGTGTCGTCGTATTTTATTGTTTCCCGGATACGAGATACAGCATCGCAGAAGTCTGAAATACACGACTGCACAGACGCTCCATCCAGCTCGTGACAACCAATGAACTTCAAAACATCTATCAATCAACCGAGAACATGGCGGTTTTTCTCGACGTTTTGGTTGTGCCGACAAATAGAAACCGCGCGTCCTTCATTCAACTGTGCTGCAATATTAACATTTCCGAATGTTCGGTATTTTACTGCATTGTCCAGATGCTCCATAGAAGATTGATGATCCCTGGCACGCTCGGAAAGATGTTTAAGATCTCTAAAACAAAATTTACACCAACGTGATTCACGGGCGGTAGCAAAAAGTAGGCAATAAAAACAAAAAAGTGCATTTTTGTCCTCGCTGTAACACAACCATTCGTGTTTTTTATACCAAGTTTATGCGCAGAATGTACGCCGACGCTTTCCTCCGTCATGGGATTGTTCCAGTGAACAATTTTTTGGTTGATAAGGCCCAAGACGTTGTACCTCTAATTTTTGTTTCAGCGGCAGCTGCAAAAACAGAGTGCGAAGTAGTGCAGCAACCTTATTCATTATGAGGTCTAAGGCTAAGAAATGCGAAGCCGGAAAGAAGTGAGGAGCTCTAAAGGAATGTGGAAAATCGAAAGCAAATGGACTAAAGGTCTCTAACTGATTCAAATAGCGAAACAAGCGACAAAAACGAAGGCGAGGAAACTATCAACTCTTCAAGCAACCAACGAACGAGAAGGAATGCGTGAATATGTCAACACGTTGTTGTAGGAAACGTCGGCATTGTGTCGTCATAATTTCGGGGCTAGCCCCGATGATTTAGTAAAAGAAACAGAAAACAAACGAGACGAACGCGGCGAGTGGAAGATAAAAGAGAGAATACGATATACAATGAGCAACCGGGGCAAAATCGGCGTCGCCCCGTCGACGTTCGGCGAAGGCTTTGCGAGCGAAAAATGAACCATGTCGGGAGAATATGGCTAGTGTAGACAGTCTGTGCAACCGATATTGAGGTATTTTTCGAATATTTTTTATTGTACCGAAAAAACAACCGGGGCATTGCCCCGGTTGGCCCTATCGACGCGCCGCCACTGTGTAATAATATTTTTTATTTTTTTTGGTGGGCGGGCGCGTACTTTTACGTTTTTTAACTTTATTTTAAGTTATGCTCGCCTTCCAGGTATCTCTGCATTTTGTTTGTTTGTCCAGTTTTTGTGTTGTTTTGTTTTTATGTCAGAGTAACGAAATAAATGATTGATTGATAGTTCTTCAAAGCCTTTCGACGGACCATCAGTACCGGTACGTTCATTACATAAAACGAACCCCAACTGCGTAACCCCTCACAGTCGGAGTTTCCTATGCATAAGCATTTCTGTTTTACCGTGGTAGTATATATTTACGGTTTTACATTATTGTTTTAATCTTCACAAAACTACGTGATATGGAACTAGGATTAAATGGCAAAAACAGAAGTTAAACCGTGAATATATACTACTGGCCCTAAAGATTATTATTATTATTTCTTAGTTTCTTTTTTTATGTTATTATTTTAACCTTCTGGCGACCGGAAACTTTCCAAGTTCTTGAGGTAATGCCAAGGTCATCAGTTGATAGAAAGTACTTTACGTAAGATGTGAGCTGTTCCAAGAAGAACGGTTTTTTGAAGCTGTTCTGCATTAATATTTCCTGGAATATGTTGGACATATTTTTCCAATTCTTTTCCGATAAGTCCAAGCGCCCCCACCACAACTGGTATTGTTGAAGTTTTGAGTCCCCACATCTTTTGTATCTCGATTTCTAGATCTTTGTATTTTGAGAGTTTTTCAAATATTTTTTTAGAGGTGTTCCTTTCGGATGGTATAGCTACATCAATTAGCAGACAGGATTTTTTTGTGAAATCTTTTACTATAATATCAGGTCGATTTGCTCCTATAGTTTTGTCAGTGTGAACAGTAAAATCCCACAAAATTGTTACATTTTCATTTTCCGCTACCGGTTCAGGCTTGTGATTGTACCACCTGTCTTCTGTAGGTATATGGTAGTGTTTGCAAATTTTCCAGTGCAAATAGGATCCGATTTTGTTATGCCTTCCTGTATATTCTGTCGGTGCCAAAACTTTACACCCGGATACAATGTGGTCAATGGTTTCATCAAACGATTGGCATATTCTGCATTTTGGATCAATGTTTAGTTTCATAATTTTATTCTTGTGAGCGTTGGTCGGGAGACTTTGGTCCTGAGCAGCAATTATAAATCCTTCCGTTGTGGGTTTCAGACCTGAACTTTTTAGCCATTTATGCGTTTGTTGTTCATTTACATCCAGTGCACATGTTCTAGTGAGATATTTTCCATGCAATGGTTTATCATGCCAAATTTTTAGTCTCTGCTTTTCAATTTCTTTCTTATACTTGAGCTTGACATCTTTTGCCATCTTGTTTGCACCTTTTTTCTCAGTTAAGAAATTAGTAACACCAGTTTCCTTCATAAATTCATCAGTTTTATTGAAGATTGAGTCGAAACGCCTATTTTTATTTTTATCGAAATCTCGCACGATGCGCATTAGTGGATCTTCTGTTTCGGTCAAATATATTTTCAGTCCTACAGTAGATGCTTTGTAACTTCCCTCAATTTGAATCAGACTTCGTCCACCCTTGCTTCGCGATAAGTACAAACGTTCAGTGTCTGCACGAGGATGATGTATCTTATTTATCGTCATTAGTTTTCTCGTTTTGGTATCAAATTGTTTGATTTCTTGCTTAGTCCACTTGATGATATTGAAACTGTACGAAACTACTGGTATTGCAAAACTGTTAATTGCCTTGAAGATGTTTATTATTGGACACGTATGGACATAACGATCGTTTCAATTTATGTTGTTGTTGTTGTTGTTCTTGTTCTTTGACACGTTTTTAAAAAGTCGCTTTTCTCTTTGATTACTGGACTAATTGCTTTGAAATTTTCAGTGGTTGAAGATGAAATTTTTCTCCAGAAGGCTATTACTTTTATTTATTTCAAATATTTCTGTTAGCTCTGTAAGATTTGTTTTTGTTTGCTATGACGTCACTAAACGTTCTGCAGATATCGGACGCCATTTTGTGTCCAACGGACCATCTTGCAATTTCAATTCACGCTGTCACAAGACAGGACCTTCTAAAGATAGAGAAGTTCTGGTACCGTAACACAGCGCGGTGACACTGAACTAACTCGTAGCTGTCAAAAGCTTGAAAATCCATACAAATATGAGAAATAAAAAGATGAAACTTGGCAGGTGGGTAGAGTTGGGTTTCTTTTAACCATATTTGAAAGTTTCGCGTTTCTACATTTGAAGGAGGGGGAGTAGGGGGTGTGCATTTCCGATACGTCGATAATATCTTTGTCAACCAATTTGCGGCCACCGTGTTTTCGTCTGTTTGATTGCTGTGATGTGGTGCTTTGTTTATAATTTAACGAGTTTTGTTCGAAATAACCGTGTTCTTGAAATATATGACGGTCAGAAATGCAATTAGAAGCCCAATGTTTTCACGCTGTCACAAGACCAATTTGCGACCACGGTGTTTTGTCTGTTTGATTGCTGTATGGCTGCGATGTCTCGACGCAGCAGAAACGATGATCAAGGCTTGAAATCCGTGGTCGCACACTGGTCGTTCGGTCGCAAATACGTCTTTCGAATGCCGTACTTTGGGGATTTGTATAGCTTTAACCCTTTGTCGTAGAAAGTTAATACGAGGTTTAGCGTGTAGAATAAATGCCGCCAATGCACCCACGGTGAAAAAATTAACGGGTTAGATATATTGGTTTTTGTTTTATAGCGGTTTGAATGAAATTGTCCGCAGACTGGCTACACCACCCTAGGCCTGGTGAGTTGTCCGTGTAGTCGAATTGTCCATCAGCCCTAAACGGCTATGACAGTCACTGTACCAAAAATTGTACCCCGATTCGGCTGGTGTTAAGTTGACGCATGTTATTTAGTAACGTTTTTATGTGAAATGTTTGACTGTGGTTCGGTACCTGATCCGATAATACGGTACATAATTGACTCATATCACGAGATATTTCAACTGATGTTTCAATTGTCACAGGACCTAAAATATCTATGACAGTCCCTGTACCGTCACGGTACCCCGATACAGATACTGGTAAGTCACCGCCGGTATGTTAGTCGTTGGTCACCGCATATGATTTTTGGGGAATTGTTCTGCGTGTCCATATATTTGAGCAATGCTCTCTTGTTATTATACTACGGTTAAACACTCTACTCGCGAACGCGCAATGAAGGCAAATTCTGGAATGAGTTCTAAGTACTACGTCATCGAAGGCCATTTCCAAACTGCGGTCGATTTTTGTTGGAGCGGTCGTCAAAAATTGTGAAAATATATATAGAATCGAATTCACCAAAATAAAGTTTTGGTGATTACCTCCATTCAAACTTTGACGATTATGCGGTTCAAATCAGGAACTCCAACTCCAACAGTTCGGCGCGAAAAAAATCTTTCAAATTTGTACTACGGTATAGTTTAGTATCACATGCACTTCTAGTTGGCCTGGTTCAAAAATTTTTGTATATGTTATTTATCATCCCCACCTGATTACGTCACTACGACGCCACAGTTGCGTAATGAATACCTCCAAAGTGTAAGGATGGTCGCCCAAAACGCGCAGACGATCACCCGGAATCGAGCAAGCTATTTCTCGTCGCAACGATCCCGATATGCGAGAGACCGCTGGCTAGTGAGTTCGGGATTGTCTGCGCAGGTGCCATTTCGGACGATGGTATCTATACTTGGCAAGCTCTATGATGGATTGTGACGTAATTTTTGTATAACATAGTCAGGTGGGGGTTAGGAATAAAATATACTAAATTCGGTACCGTACCGGTATGCTACGCCCATCGGAAGTACGGTACCGCAATTCCAGTTAATCAGTGCAAAATATCGTTCATCGAATGCTGAAATGTTTTAGCGATCTACAGATTTAGAAATCTGAGGCCAGTATGCAAGCCTTTTTGTGGCGAATGACACACCGACACTAAACACATGAACCAGTACCGGTACTGTAGTATCTAAATGGAGTAAATAATTTTAACTGCTGCATTGTAAGTTTGTTTATAGTAATCACTTTGTTACAGTATCCAAAACTCACAAGTAAATTTCATTTTCCAATATCTTAATATCCATGTACAGATGCAAATGGGCATATCGAGTAACATACAAAAATATAGCCTAATCATTAACCGTGTGTCATGGGTAAGGAAGATAAAGTTGAGACTGATGTCTATGAGTATATGAAAATACAAAATAGACCATACAGTGCTGCAGATGTTTTTTCTAATTTACATAAAGTTCATGGAAAAACAGCTGTAGTAAAAGCAATGGAGACACTTGCAGTTGATAAAAAATTAATTGAAAAAGCTTACGGTAAATCAAAAATATATGTTATTAATCAAAACGAATTTCCAGAAGTTTCTGATTTAGAAATTACAAAACTAGAAGAGGATATCAAATTATGGACTGAAAAATGTGAGACATCACAATCTGAACTGAAACTTATAAAAGCATCTCTGCGGACACATCTTAGCAGTCTAACAACAGAAGATGCAAAGTCAAAAGTAAATCAATTGCAAAAAGAAGTAAAGCAACTCAAAGAACGTTTAACTAAAGCGAAACAATCCACAGAAGATATAAGCGAAGAAGATAAAAAAAATATTTATAAAAATCATAAACAATTTGTTTCACATTGGAAAAAGCGAAAGAGAATGACAACCGATCTAATGGAAGCTGTGTTGGAAGGATATCCAAAGTCTAAAAAAGTTTTTATTGAAGAAGTTGGAATCGAGACCGATGAGGAATGCAATGCTAAGATACCTGAAGTTTGAAACTTGTTTTCGTGGATAATGGGCATCACTATATTATGATTTGAACAAATAAGCATTGTGTATTCTGGATTTTCCACAAATATTCCTGCTTTTAATGATCCCATTTGAATTGTGTGATTAATGTGTCTGTATGTTTTTTGGTTCAAGTCCACTTAAATACTACTTGACTTCTCCAATAATAAGGATCATTGGAACTCACCTGATCAATCTCATAACAGCGAAAAATCAAATTACATTAGCAATTCAGTGCAGTGGGCCTCGGTATTTTGAAATTACTTTTTCATACCACCACAGTATATATAGTATATTTTCAAATATTGCAGTACAAAGAGCTCTCCTATTCTTTTTTAAGCAGGCTACAGTTCTAGATTTTAATCTTGAAGCAAGGATGAGACAGTTTCAAAATCGTGTGATGGCCCCTAATTCGATTACCAAGTCTTAGAAATTTGTGTAATTGAAATTATGTTCATGTGGAAATTTTGATTGAATCTATGAGAATATATCTGAACTGTGTGAAAAATGATATCTCCTGCTTAGAGAATATTTGATCTCATAGACAATTTCCTAACACTTTGTATGTTATTACACCAAGGTTACAGGTTAATCAAATAAGCAAGCAATGGGAGATTTTTTGTTTATTTTCATTTGTTATAAATTGATTCAATTGATTGAAACGAATTAAGTCCTGAGTAATATATTCATAGACCATCTTCATTTGGACTTTATTGCACAAGAATTTTTTGTCTATAATATAAAACTTGACTTGAGCGTACCCTAAGATATCATGGTTTTCTAGCCCATCTCAAACTGTAAATGGGTTGAATATTGTGTCGGAATTCTAGACTGAACTTCTACTGTTTCTATGTCTATGAAATGGTTTTAGCCCAAGACTGTCTCATTTGTGCAATGCTGTAACATGTTCTGCCGATACATTGATTTGTCATGCTCTGGGAGTTAATGATTGTGTTGGTATATATTTATATCTTGGTAATTTTTTTGGTTATGTTCTGACTACCGTTATGTTCCACCTCTTCTTGCTTCTGTCTTTTCATTGTTCCGTTCATTAAAAGGTGTAATATTTTTTCAATGTACGTTTCAAAGTCAAGGTTCAGGATTTCCCTCAGCAATCTTAAGTGTATGTTTCGCTTTCTTGACACGTGCCATTTTCGCAGTGCGATTTTCAGGAAATTTGGTTTCATTAAGGATATGTGTTGTAAAATCTAGATTCTGTTGTAAATTTTCAAATACGTCGCGATTCTCATTAAAAATCTCCTGGTTAACATCAAGACGGTTGTGAGGCAGGCGTGGTACAAAATCTACCAATGCGCCTCATACTTTCGTTTTTTTCTGATAAGACAAATCAGAACTACCATGGTTCAGGTAGATGATTCTGGATTCATTAGGTTTGACGTAATTGATACTTTTACTGGTATTTTGTTTGGGATAGTCGCGTTGTTAAACAATTTTTTCAACAAATTTCTATATATATATTATATATATGTGCCTTTGCGTGATATAGTATAATTATGCTGAGTGGGGCACAAAATAGAAAATTTCCTGCAGTTTCATTATTTGATAAGATTATTTCACAGGGTGTTTTCACTTTATGGATTGATTTGTCAACAAATGAATGAAAGTATGGGGCATGAATCGTTTAATCACAATAGAATTTGGAATCGCCCGATATATCCTACTACAAATACCCGTGGGCGCAGCGAAGTCTAACATTTGTTGTTGTTTGACAAGCAATGTGATCTGTAGATAACGGTCTAATCTAGTCTCTTTCTAACTACAGTTTCACAAAACTGAGATAACCATCGTAAAAGTACTGTAGACGCGAAAAATATATTTAAATTCCTAATATTCGTAAGAAACGGAAATGGATTGCCTTCGGTATTAGCAAAGTGAATTGCGATGGCCTAGAATGTGCGCTTGCATTGCTCGTAATTGTTTTTGTAAAGGTGAACAGGAAGGCCATGTGTGCTAACAGCCACCAAAAAGGGGCCACGAGCCATATAAACTTGGGAATCCCTGGACTACTAAAACATGGGAGCCTAGCAATTATGATCTGCTTCCCAGTTCCCAGTAGAAACTCGAAGCAAGCATTTGTAAAAAATGACCGGACTCACAATTACTTCTTCTGTCACTGACATGCAGTCAAACATAGCCACAGCCTCGGCTCATAGATATCATAAACCACAAATGACAATTCAGCCACAATAACACGTCTTATGATATCGGATATGACGAATCGTCATTGTGTCGTATGACCACACTACACTATATTGCACCTTCAACAGCGGAAACAATTATTTCGTGCATTATATATAACATGACGGGTGAGCGCTTTTTTTTATCGCGCATTCAGAATAAATGATTTCTCAGAAGCGGACAAAGATATATATGGAGTATGGAAATTTGTGATGTACAAAGATGAGAGATCAGTAAATATATTCAGGCTGAGTTCTATATAACACGAAATGAATATAAATTTTCAAATCGATTGGGAGCTATAGCTAAATTATTATGGAATTGCGGTGATGGTGAACATAAAATAATGATTTGGGATGTCGATATGCAAGGTCAAGTTGTTCGATTGTAGAAGGTTGATTTTAATTTTGATCACCCGAAGAAAATGACAGTTTGATCATCTATATTTTTGAAATGAAGCTTTTTTCAAATTCATATAATTTCGTTCAAGCTAAATTCTATGAACATTCACATTAACTTTGCGTAGGAAATAGTATATAGTTTCAACCAAATCTATAATCACCGTCCCCTTTTGAATCACCAATTTGGAATATATGCCAATACGAGCAAATTGCAATATATTTGGACATGTTAGAGGAGCAATAGTCACACCATACATGCAGCGCAATTTATTGGTACAAATTATCACAGGACCACAGCCCGAACAAAAGTAATTTGCCTTCAATTATTACTAATGTGGAAACTAAAATATGAGTCAGGGAGCGAAGCAGGATGCGTTGTGACGTCATCCTGTATGGTATATCGAAGAAGGAAGTCACTATGGTTCTAGGTTAGGAGAGACAAGCCCTATGTTCTGTGTTTTATCTGTTTCGTGTTTCTGCAGCGAGCGATATACCAGTGAATGTCAGCTCGTATGGTTGTTTTACGACAATTGGACTACAATTTGATGGCGTAGCATTTTCATTGATAGATTATTCTTAGCGACTAATATAATGTGACAAGCATAGTGTGCCAAGCTCATCGACATTTTGGAATATGCAGTGCAATAATTGGCCAGGACTTTTGCGATCGACATTGTTCACTACGATCATGACCAATACTCGTTCAAGAAATTAAATAGACATAATATAAAAAATTAAAAAGTATTTAAATATTTCTAGATAAATTTGCCCTGAGCTTCGTTCCGAGTGATTAACAATAGAATGAACTTGAAACTATAATTTTTTTTTATAACTAGAAAAGAAATTCGATATATAGTTAGTTGAAAACACGCCATTAAGTCTTCACACGTTCTATACAGTATATATGTACAGCCAATTATTTGCGTTGTATGTATAAAAAGCCGGATATTTGTTCAGTTAGTCATCTTATAATGAAATGATGTCCACGACATTGTGATAAGGGAATACTGCTTTGTGAGCATTTTGTTTTTACAAATCATCTATTTACAAATGGATGAAAAAATAGGCAATTTTGAAAGAAGTATGAAATTATCATAGGCTAAATATTTACCATAAACTTCCACAGCTGGGCTATATCATTTACTCTTTCGAAGTCGAATTAGTAGGTCAGCATATAAATTTAAACTAAAACTAACTAAACCACAGAAAATTAACAGAATGGTCAGTGGATATCGAAAACTTAATAATAATGAATAGATTTTGAATAGATAGATTTTGAAAAAATTAAAAATCAGTCCACGTCAGAAGTTAACACCCGATTAGCGATGAATATCAGTGAAAACAATTAGCGTTTAGTACATATTTGCCGTGGCATCAGTTTCCTGAAAAAGAAAAACAATCAATTCTATGTGGATGAAACAATTTGCTGCACACAAAAAAATAAAAATTTTCGGATTTTATTTTCAACTGCAATAACACAACATCCTGAAGTGGAATAATATAGGGATTTGCTTGAGAGCATGAAAAGGGCTGATTATACAATACATGCTTTATCGTAAACCCGAAATGGCGAATATCATAATGTATAGGATGTGGTTAGGTGGGAATTATGTCTTAGATATCTCTTTTATGAGGTCTATTGTTTAGATATTAAAATGGGAATATCCTAAGTGCCTATAAATATTATTAATTGTCCGCCAAAGCGTCATCGGGTGTCTGATTACAAGTGAATGTTTTTTGAAAATGACTTACAATTAATCTTTTCTATTTAATATTTTCTTTATATTATAAAGGTGTATTATCGAACCACATTTATATCTAGATAAAGTATATAGTCCCTTATAGTCATGGATGTGAGCACACTTCCTAAAGACATGAATATAACTGACGACTACGTAAAAATGGTCGGTGAAGTGAAACGTGATTTTATAAAAGCAGCAAAAGAAAAAAAGAAGAAAAATAAAGAAGACAACCCAGATTACGAAGGTTTGTATTAATAGTAATAATGTTTCAAGTGTAACTACTCGATTTTAACTAATTATATATATATTGAATAAGAAATTAATGGTCGAATATACGGACAGGACGATCACAATTGTATAAGGTTTCCACAAATTAAAATAAAACAGCAAAACCTTGGGGGAAATAGGACGAGTTATTGTCGTCTAGCGGCTTCAACAATCTTTGAGTGCTTAAAAATCGAGTGTTCCATTAGTTACGAGTAAAAGCGATTTGTTTCACAACAACAATTAAGCAAAACGATTCATATGTAAGCTTTGAGTACATAACCAACAGTATTAATTCGATTACTCAGATACTGTGACATTGCGAGCATGAGCTGTGCTGAATATGCTGAAACACATTTAAAAAATCTATTCGCGCGTCGGTTACGAGCCTGATAATAAACTTGTTCCTTGTTTAGGCTTGTTTAGTAATAGAAATTCCTAAATGACAAGGAATTTCCATTTATTTTCCATAATATGTATATGTCATATAATATAAATATATATCATCATAAAATAAATGTTTTTGAAACGTATAGAGGTAATTAGGTGAACAATGAAGCCTACGTCAAAATAAACATGATTTTCGTAGTCAAATGCATTCATATGATTCAAAAATAACAAATAGGGAGCCATATCCCTCATTTCAAAATTACTCATGTTTGCAGATATAAGACTAAGTATTTCAGTTATTTAAATTCGAAAAAAATTCCTTATCACAGTTTCAATAACTTGTGTGGTCAAGTGATCGAAATAACTGAGTAAGTGTAAATTATATATCCAATATACTTAAACATTTCGGACTTCATATCTTGCTTTTAGGATATGATTCATACGACGAAACAGAGAAAGAAAAGGAATTAGCCAGAATCAAAAGAGAACGTGGAAAATCTTGTCGCCCTAAAAAAGCAGTCAATGCGCATGCCCGCCAGTTTTCTAGAAGGGTAAAAGTGGTGGCCGTCAAACCTCTTGTCAATATTAACCCAGAGGAAATCGAAGATGAAGAAGAAAGGAAAAGAGCCATCGAGTTACAGGTATAGGCTATATTACTGGTCCATGAAAATTCGTATTTTTTTGTAATTATTGGAGTGGATGAATACTGATTACAGATATGATCAACAGCTG